TGGCAGGCGTTTTGATAGTGATCATTAGCCCTTTAGTTGATTGCAGGCTTCACAGAGGGAGAGGAAAGTCAAGTTAGAAAAAGTCGAGAAGGGCGAACAGAAGAGTGCTTCAAAGATGTTAAAGAGACAGACACAAAGGTAGATGAAAGGTGAGGTGAGTACTATGAAGTGGTGGAATATGACATACGGTGGGGTGATGGTAGTTTGAAGTCAGAAGTCAACTGCCGGTTAATAGACTTTTTTGCCGTATGAGCATACGTTGCCCAGAGTGCACCACATGGAGGTAGGTCTATCGCACACCCCAGTCAATGAAACATTATTCGACAGCTGAACTCTGGAATAGAATTCCAGTGGACTGGCCATCAATTATTTTGAGAATGTGAAAGGCAATTCTAGCTCCCTTTTCCACTTCTAGATTCTGGATTACGAGAGTCTCTACGAAGTCATGTGTAAACCAGCCTGGCTATTCGACGGTCGTCTAATTTTGGACCACCAGAAACTCAAGAAAATCGGCTTCCACGTCAAGACAATCGGGGTGTACTCCAATGGTCCACTCGATAACCTCCACTTTACCACCAGAGGATTCAGTTGATCACTCAACTTGAAGTCTTTCCTTTCACTTTCCTGACTTTTCAATGGCGATTTTGTGTGTGTGTTTGTCTGTGCATCAAGGCCCGTTTTTTTCTTAATTTTAATAATATTTGTATTGTATCTGACGAAAAAAATAAATTTCCTTATTGAGAGGTACGGCACTGTCTATGGGGCCAAAGCTACTCAGATCTTCATGCCTCAAAAAGAGTTCATTAAGTGGTTGAAGTATTGGGACTTTGAGGCCATTAAGTACTGACACTTCCCCACGCCACGATACTGGCTGTAAAAGCCAATTCTCCCAACAGGAAAGACCATGGGTTTTGTTTTAATTGATGATGAATAAAGTAATGTGAAGTACTTTTATTTGAAATTTGATGATTTTATGATGAAGATTGTGTGATATTCTTTGTATACGCGTGTTTGTCCCTACTAATCACACATATGAATTAATTGGAAGGCACACAAATTTCTATAACACTTTCCATTTTAATTAGGCATTTTTTTTTTGGTTGAGTGCACCATATTAATAGTTATATCATGCCATACTTGTCAAGAATTTCAAATTGATTCTTTATTGAATTTATTGCACTCTATGCTAATCTGTGGCAAAGGCAGTGAACAAGAAATGGAACTGATTAACTGCAGGTAATATCGATTCAAGCCCACTAAGAGCTTATATACATCTAGTGAATCTTTTCACTGCCATTTCACGGTGTAAAAGAGATTCTGTAGGGGGTTGTCCAAGCATTCAACTGAATGGGCAGTGACTGGCATTGATTTCGAAGTCCCTGTACTTGCAGACACCCACGTTAACCAAAGCGCCACAAGAATGTGCCAGTTTGGAATAAATCGGCTGCATGAGAGATGAACCATGCTCACCCGATATTTCTATTTCTGTACCGACCCCAAGGGAGATAAAAGCCGAAATATAATTGCACATCTACTGTGGTTACCAAACTCATCTTTCTCTAATGCATATTGATTTTTTAAGTTAAAATAGGTTACTTCCTCGAAGCGGTCCGCATTAGCCCTTATATGATATCATAAAGTCTGCCATTTGAAAAAATAATTATAGCCAACTCTAAATCACCATAAAATAGCACAATCACGCAGAGTTGGGAGAGATGGCTTAATTATGTAACGAGAGTAGTAACCCTAAACCGTTTCAATTTTTGATTTACAAACTATACTTTAAAGCACCTAACCTCTTCTTCTCTTGGAACACATATTCCCATTTCGTCATCCACAATTCTTTGCGCCTATCGACATACTTCTCAGAGAAATCCTTCAGTTAATTTCTTCAGCAAACTGCAACATTCATACACTATCTGCATGCATGTGTAATACCCCCACTTATTTGTTCTCATTCAAGCCTTGTTCTTATTGAGGCTTTTAGCTACAGTTTCAAACAAAGTCAGGTTCAATTAAACCGGTATATTTTTCAATTCTGATCTAGGTTTAAAGGACAGTATCATTGAGTCGCCTTGGCGAGAGACTTAAATTCTCTTAGCTCTTTCATTAGTAGAAATTAGCCATTCCACTAGCTGAATGTGCACTGATGGGCATTGAACCAGGACTTCAGATTGTGGTGACGAATAGACCGTGTACTATAAACTTTAACATACCCAGTTTCATCGTGACATACTCCAATATCGATGCAGTTGTCTGCTTAGATGGCGAGGGTGTGGAATAACAGTGCATGATATTTAATATTACTTTGTCAATGGGGGTCCAATCCGAATTTGAACCACGTACTCTCGAGTTGTACTATTTTAAACCACTACGCAGTTGAAATCACCAAGTTAGATTTGCGTTAATTGGGTAAAAAAGGCCTACATTGTACCTTTGTAACTGCTTGCTGCAAGGTCTTCAACACTAACTAAGGAAGTTTATTTTAAACACGAGGCTCCTGCAAATTTTCATTTGAATTTAATCACTCTGCACCTAAAACTCCGTTTCTTAAGATGTCGAATGGGTGCGGCTTGGGCTCAGTGTCTATTGGTTTCCAAGGGAGAAAGTGTGCTTTAATTAACACTACAAATTTTTCAGTGCTACTTCCACCTTTTAAGTATGTGTGTGTGTGCGTATGCGTGCGCTGACTTTCGTGGAAACCTTTTCCAATTGAATCCACCTCTAGTCACTATGTCAGTAATTTCATTAACAATTTCGGTTTTATTAAACACACTTTTAAAAGTAAGGTTAATTTTTTCGCTTACTGCTTCGATGATCAATCTGCACTGATATGAGCTTAGTGCCCACTAAATTTGCTAGAAATAAGTTGGCTCTAGCCTTGAGAGAAGGGGTGGGGGAGATCATAGGCAGAAATTAGAGTCACACCGCACTTCAAACAAAAAATAAATCACTTTGCCTTCAAACCGATGGCGTTTTTATTTTAAAAAAACTACTGGAATGGTAATATGTCGTGTTCCAAGCATTTCATTTAGCGGACTGGTGGTTGCGCACATTCACTCATTGATAAGGCAGTGGCCTGATAAGCATAGGTGTTTAGTAGAGGGAACACGGAATTTAATTGAATATGTGTACCATTGGCTGCTCACTTAGGCTTCCGGATGGTATCGGGTTTAGCTACTCAAAGCAGAGAAGGGTATTCATAAGGGCAGAAGGTCATGTGGTACACGTCATCGTCTACGGCGTGATTGATTACATGCACAACCAATGCCCAATCAGAAGCCTTCATTTGTTTAAGCACATCCTCCATGTTGATTATAACTAGCCTTATGGCGTGAGCACTTTATCTAACATATACTACCTGAATAAACGTGTTCTGTGCGATGCGTCTATTTCCTCTATAGCTGGGTTGTAGCATAGCTAGTTCTGAGAGTCTATCCTGATATAGGAGATTCTGCCATAGAGATTTCTGAGTCAGTCAAGGCTTTACTAGTGTAGCAATCCGCTAGAATTACGAAGGTGGGTGATTAAATACTGCATTTACTCCAATTGCTGGTGTGATCGTAAGTTTAGGTAGTTCTGCGATCCCAAACAGACTACCTAAAAACGTCCAAACTCTCCAACTTGAAGAAGTGGAATTGTCTTGTCAATTTCCTATTTCCCACTATATTCTCTTTAAGAAATTTCACTTCCTTAGGTACTGGGTGTTTTCCAAGGTTGCAGAAATGCAAAGCTTTTAATTGATGCCAAGGGAAAGTATCCATTCATATTAGCATAAACGTAGTGAAAGCTTGGACGTCCAAGCCATACCACAAGTAGCCCTATTAGACAGCCAATATTCTATTTGCCATAACCACAAGGCTCCTATGTTAAGTTCAGTAGTTCCTTTAGTAAGTTACGCTTGTCTAGTTATTTGAAGTGAAAGGAGATAATGGTGTCTGTTGTTTTGTGGGCGTATCTAATTGGTCAATGAGATAATGTAATCAAATATGCAACTTGGTCGCTCTCCAGATTCCTGTGGGTGTTTGGATGTTGCATAGCAGAAAGATTTGCGATAGGACAAAATGTCTTACGCAATCTCTGTATGCTGCTAGAGAATGGTATGATTATTCATAGATCAAAATTGTATTTCCATTACTAAATTTGGAAGTAATGATTTGGTATCAACAAAGAGAAAATGTCCTAATTGTTTTGAAAAAAACTGTTAAGTTAAAGTCAAAATAGGAAATATTACTTTGGGGACATTATGAAATTGCTTGAAAGGGACTTCTGGTTACGTTCCTAATATATTTACAGAAACGCGGTGTGCGATAGACTTACCTCCACGTAGTGCACCCTGGGCAACGTACAGTCACACGGCAAAAAGTCTACTAACTGGCAGTTGACTTCTTACTTCAAACTACCATCACCCCTCTGTGTGTCATATTCGACCGCTTTCACAGTACTCACCTCACCTTTTCCTCTACCTTTTTCCTGTCTCTTTTACATCTTTGAAACACTCTTCTGTCTTTCCCCCCAAGACTTTTTTTTCACTTTGATGTTCCTTCCCCTCTGTGAATCCTGAAGTCAACTAAAGGGGTAATGATAACCAACAAAACGCCTGTCATTTGATATAAATAAATATTTACAAAAACAATGGCGATATTTACATTGCCAACATTGAAGAATACGACCTCTGAGTTCGCGTATGCAGAGATGTTAGAAATACTACTTATTTCTGGCATTTTCAATAATATTCTATGAAATGAAGATAGTTCAACATTAATTACAATGTCAAGTTAGTAAAGGCACGCACAAGTGAATAAAGGTATTTAATTTTGAAACCAGGCCACCATTAGGGTAGTGGACACTGAATACGCAGATAATGAGGCTTAGAGGATTTATTAAATTAAAGTAGTAAGCAATTTAAATGGTGATTTACATTCTAAGCAACAGATTCAACAAAATCGGGAGAACAGTGAGGCCAATTCTGGGCCACACATCAACAATGGAAGCGGCGGCCATAGGATAGTGGAACTCATCTTCAGCTTCAATACTTGGCATAACACCCGCCTTTCGATTGTCGCTCTTTACAAAATATAAAAATATATCAAAGTCAATTTTCATACTTTTAAAATGCACTTACACTTGGGCAGCAGAGGGTTTGAGTTGAAATAGTGAGAATAAGCAGAAAGACACCACCGAGGAAATTCATGTCTACTGAGGCGGTAGAGTTAGTCTGCAGTATTTATATCCAATTCAAAGTTTATAAGGCATGGTTAATGTAAACATCTCCTAACCGGAAGATTGCACTGCGTACCACTTTGAAACAACCAGACTGGAGAGGAACTTCTTGTTTACTGCTGTACTCTAGTTAGCCAGCATTATTTATATCGAATTCAAAATTCACAAATCATGGCAAATATAAACGCCTCCAAGTGGCAGCATTGTGCCATGTACTAGATAGAAGCACATTGTGCTGTTTCAATGGATGTTACAACCGGAATTATGGCCGAACTCCTTCTAATTTTACGCTTTAAAAAAACGATCCGAGAAGCATGAGTGCTTCGAATGGCTAACGACAAATTATTAGAAATTTCATAATAGACCAATATTTATTTGCGGAACGATTCCAACACCCTTTGTTATATCTACTTACCAAACCAAAACTATCTTAAAAGGCAAAAACATGCGTAAATAATCCTTCTTCTCAATTGGCAGGTATCATAATTGTTATCATGAGGTGTGCGATAGACTTACCTCCACGTGGTGCACTATGGGTAACATATACTCATACGGTAAAGAAGTCTATTAACCGGCAATTTACTTCTGACTTCAAACTACCATGACCCGATTGTATGTCATATTCCGCCACTTTCACAGTACTCATTTTACCCTTTTCTCTACATTTGTATCTGTCCGTCTCTTTAACAACTATGAATCACTCTTCTGTTCACCCTATTCACTTTTTACTCATTTCGATGTTCCTCCTTCCCTCTATGAGGCCCAAAGTCAACTAAAGGGCCAATGATAACCATCAAAACGCCTGATATTTGGCATAAATAAATATTTGAAAAGATAGGTAGGACATCACCCACAAAGCTGCACTGGACAGCAACTGAAGACGCTGCTGAAAATGCATAAGAAAATTGGACAGGTGTATCAGTAGTTGGGAAACAGGCAGAGTTATCATCTTTACTCTTTACATTTGATTTTAAGAATGCTTAAAACGAATATCCACTCACTTTGCAGCAGTGTTTCTGATTTGAAATCAGGAGAGTCGGCAGAAAAACAGTCGAGCGGTAAGTAGACTCGACCACATATGTTTCATCGAATGCCGATTGCCACCTCAATATGCATAGCTGCAGGTTTAACAATCCAGCAAGTTTCTGGACTACTGTTGGAGAAGTTTAATGTGGGAATAGAATGCCTGAGGCAGCGGTCAGTCGGGAATACGGTGAGAGAATTATGTTATTTTAAACTCATGTAAGTTTGCATCTCCATCATTAATTTAATAAATTGTAGCCGATGATCTAAAAGGTAAGAACTTCAAGAACAACCACGCTTTTTAAATTGCATATATGTCTTCTATGCCTATATCAAAGGAATTTAAACGGCCATGCGGAACACTTGATCACGAAAAAGTATGTAAAAAGGTTCTATCTTGAGAACTAATGTCTTCCATCCACTTATAAGTCCATCTAGTTGAGCGAAATACTCACAATTGCTTAATAGCAAGGCAGTAAGGCTCATTAAGATGATATTTTTACTTGAAAGTAAAAAGTAATAAAATAATAAATGTAACGCGTGTATTGCACTTTGGTGGCTCGAGGGGGCAAGTTTAGAAAATTTCCCCCATAAATTACAAATTCCCACTCAGCACATCGAACATTTTTGGGAACATTTTCCTTGTTCATTTGGGGTGATTTCCTAAAGCGTGTGGGAATTTTCGTGTTCAAATCTTAGCTTTTTTGCCTATTGTTATAGCAAAATTTGTGCCTTAAATTGCCTCAAAAAAGAGGTTTTGTAGTTCAGACGACCTGGGGGCGGGGGTCATTCACCTGAAGAAAACTGTGAAGTATCCGCCATCTTATTGAAAAAACGCAAACTCCCTCTCTTCCTTCTTCGATTACAATAAGCACCTTACCAACACTACGGAAATTGGGGCTCAAACTGCGCTCATCGATTGACTAATAGCAGTGGCTTTAGAGTTCACCTACCCAGATAAGGCGGAGCCATTCTTTGACTGTGATAAAATAAACATTTGAATGGAGATAACCATCAATGGCATGGATGGGGAAACCATTCTAAATAATATTGTCGTTTTGGGGTATCCGTAGGTTGCATTGTATGTATCACCTTTACTACGTTCGCTCCCATGTGTAACGCCTCCAAGAGGCTCTTGCATGGCATTGGGTTGGTGCATAGCTGTGAGAATAGACGTCTGGTTGTGGAGTATTGTGAAAATGTTGAACATTTTCCAGTGAAAAAAACGTATAAGTGGGTTTCAATTTGAAGAGAAAGACACAACTGGTCAACATTTCTAATATCAGCAAATACCCGGGTGTATTTCGCGATGAACCTTTAAGTCAGCGTTAGAAATGGTTGACAACCCAAGTAAGGTTCAACAATTAACCGTCTTTGTTCTACTGGATACAGCATTCCGCAGTACTGTATTCACAGCCGTTACTAATAAATGAACGCAATTTGACAGATGTGCGCTATGTGATCTACACAGACACCCAATGCTAATTTCAGGTTGATAGATGACATGAGGCCTCCTTGATCTTGACCACAACTTAAGAGGTGGCATCGATTATAATTTCTGCAATCTTTATTCTCAGGACCAAAAATTCCATATTGCATGATTTGCCCCCTCTAATCTGGAAATGTAAGATTTCGGAATATATGCTCCATTTGACCCAATTGTGAAGTTGAAGCAACGCATTCACGTAGGGGATATATTCATTGGTTTATTCTACGTGGTGCACCCTGGATAACGTATACTCGTACGGCAAAAAAGTCTATAAATCGGCAGTTGACTTCTCACTTCAAATTACTATGTCTCCATTGTATGTCATATTCGAACACATCCACAGTACTCACCTCACCTTTTTCTACCTTTGGGCCTGTCTCTTTTACATTTTTGAAACACTATTCTGCTCCCCTTCCCCTCTTCACTTTTTTCGACCTTGATATTCCTCCCGTAGGGGTGCGTGATAGACTTACCTCCACATGGTACACCCTGGGCAACATATACTCATACAGCAAAGAAGTCTATTAACCGGCAGTTGACTTCAAACTACCATAACCCCACTGCATGTCATATTCGACTATTTTCCCAGTACTCACCTCACCTTTTCTCTGCCTCTCTGTCTGCCTGTCTCTTTTACATATGTGAATCATTATTCTGTCTCCGCTCTCGACTTTTTGTCACTTTGTTGTTCCCCCTTCTCCTCTATGAAGCTTGAACTCAGCTAAAGGGCAAATGATAACTATCAAAACACCTGCCATTTGAAATAAATAAATAAATGGTCTCTTTAAGGGATAGAAAATTTTTCAGAAAATCGGGAACTGAGACGAGACAGTGGACAAGCAGAATTGCATATTCGCATTCAGGGAGACTGGTTTGCAGTTTTTGGATCGATGAAAATGTGTCATTAATAAATCGGTTTACCTTATACCGATGGTAAAATTATCAATCAATATTTGATAGAAGATGGCAAATTGAGTAAAAGAAGGAAACAGTAACCCAACTTAAATTATGCACTTTTTGTAAAATTTATTATGGAACCGTGATCGTAATAAACTAAAGCAAAACACCACTTTTCGGAAGCAAACAGTATCTATTCTTGATTTTCTAAAACATATGCGAAATATCAATTGAATTTTTAGAGTGCACAATGCTGTCATGGCTGAACAAAGAGGTCTTATGGACACTCAGACCGACTCGACTACTTGTCAAGGTGGCAGGAAGAGGCGTCATGAGTGCAGAGACCACTTAGCCAGCCACTAATCCTTGGTCCTTGCATTGTTTAACAAACCCTTCATTGCATTATAGTGCCTGAGCTCTGTGTCAATGCCAGACAGAATCGCCCAAATATGCGTGCCCCGAGTGATCCGTCGGTTTCCTCTATAGCTTTGCGGTGTCATAGAGATTACTCAGCTTAAGTCGAGGCTAAGTTGGCTTGGCAATCTACTACAAACTCCCAAGAATTGGTGCCAAATTGAGATACTTAAGTCTTATCACACACCCCATAGTGGAATTTATTGATAGAAAAATTCGAATGGTATCGATTGAGGAAACGAAAATCATAAATATAAACAAGTATTTCTAAAATTTCCTAGTTACTTAATTGCTTTTATGACAACACTTTTATAAATGCAAACTAAACCACAACTGGTCAATCCAGGCTGGCATTCCAGCAAAATTTTGGAATTCCTCTATTGCCTCAAAACACCAGTCAATCGATCTACTACTCGTCAGGAATGTCACTGGGGTCAAGATTCGATGCATTCATCTTAATTCCTTTGTTCTCAAAACATTTCTCTATATAGTCACTTCTGATCTTTCTCTCTCATTGTTCTGCCTTCTATCCCTCCGTCCAACCATTCCAGTGAAAACTGGTCGACAAGACACTGCGGATTACATTACATCCAAGATAAAAACAGATTCCCTGTAGTAGTCACGCTTCCAAATACAGCAATCCCGTTGGTATTCTAGTCTAAGTATTAAAAGTCGAGATTTAGTGGTAACTGAGCACTTGCATTTATTTTTATCAAATGGCAGATTTTATGATAGTTAACATTGGCCCTTTAGTTGGCTTCGAGCTTCACAGAGGGGAGGAACAGACAAGGTCACGCAAAGTCGAGAGGGAAGACAAAAGAGCGATTCACAGAAGTAAAAGAGACAGATACAAAAGTAGAGAAAAAGTTAAGATGTGAGCCGTGGAAGCGGTCGAATATGACATACACTGGAGTCATGGTAGCTTGAGGTCAGAAATCAACCGCCGGTTAATAGAGGCATAAAAAAGTACATAACTTCGTTTTTGCTTACCTTAACTAGAAATAACCTCCAGCCCTTGTTAGAGTGCCTTTGAAAAAATGCATTTTTTTGTTTAAATCAAGTCCGCACGGATTTAATAATTACATCATGCATCTGTTTTGGGAAAAGATGTCTGTAACTCCCACATTTACTTCTGGAGGAAACTTGGG